TTTGAAGATTTAAAATCAAATAATCAAATCAAATTCAAATCCAGATTTTTTAAATCAAATCAAATTCAAATTCAGATGTTTAAATTAAATCAAATTTAAATAAGCCTAATATTTGATTTGATTTGATTTTGAGGAACTCTAGTGAAGTCGATCAAAGGATTTAAATAGGGGATCTACAAGCAGATCTTAGATATAGCAATTGGTAGATAACTATAGATAGAAATAGATATAGCAGAACCCTTAAATAGATAATGATTAAAGTTGTATATGTGACCAATTGTACTCTTATCAATGTAACAAAGTCAGGTGAGATCAACAAGACCAAGCCAGTACTTGATCCAAATTGCAAATAAAACATGCCAGACCCTCAAGTGGTCACCTTAATATTTAAAAAAAATATTCTAATATTACTGCTGCACAAAAACATAATCTTTGTGAAACTAAAGAAAAAACCCTAACCTTACCTATAATAAATTAGCAAAACTTTATCAAATTGGCAAGTTAACAGTATCTAACATTTTGAAAGAAAAAAAACAATGGTTTTCAATTTCAGATACTAAACAAGAAAAAAAAATTCTGTAGACCTAAATAGCTAAAACTTGAAAAAGTATTTAGTTTGTAGACTAATAATATACTTGCAATACATCAAGATATTGATAGTAATATTCTTAAAGAAAAGGCAAAATTCTTTGTTAAAAAATTAAACATTAATACTTTTAGCCAATCTGAAGGTTGGTTAAATAGTTTTAAGAAAAGAAATAGTCTTTGATCATTTAAAAAATATGAAAAATCAGCTAGTACGCTATTAGAAGAATCAATAGCTAATGATCATACTAAGTTACAACAACTTCTTTGTGCTTATGAATTTCAAGATATCTGGAATGTTAATGAAACTAGGCTTTTTTGAAAGATAAAACACTTCTGTATCTTGGCGTACTCACAAGTTGCTAGTTATAAAAAAGAAAAAGCATATATTACAATTTTTTGTACTATAAATGCTTTTAGAACTGAAAAAATAAAACTTTTTTTTTTGTTCATAAATATAAAATACCACATATAATAAAAAATTTAAGTTATAATAATTTTCTAGTTTCTATTTTTAAAATATAAAATCGTGAATGCAGGTTAGTATTTTTAATAATATCTTTCTTAAATTTAATAAAAAATAAGATAACAAAATCAGAATATTATCTTATTAGTCGACAATACTCTAGTATATATAATTCTTGATGAAACTCAAGAGTTAAGCAATATAAAGATCAAATTTTTGCCAAAAAATACTATACCATTCCTTCAATCTTGTGATGCCAGAATTATCAATTTCTTTAAATACAAATACAAGCAGCTTTTTGTTCAAAATCAAATAACTGTATATGATGATTTGCAAAATAATATTACAAAAGAGCTTTCAAAATACAATATATATCATGCATTATTTAATACTGCAGAGGTGTAGACAATGATAATATCTGAAATAATTATTAATTGTTAGAATAAAACTAGTATTCTTCTACTACAAGAAGAGAAAATACAAATTGATTAGGGCTGTATCATTTATCACCTAATTATTTTTTATCAAAAGCTTACTTCTCTCTCTCTCTTTTAATATAAAAAAATCAAGTTCTTATATATAATTTTAATTTTTTTTATACCTTTTCTCCCTCTAAAAAATCATCTAATTTTGTTACGTTCCTTATAATCTAGATAATTTTGAAGAAATATTAAAAAATAAAAAAGATAATCTTAAAAACTTGATAGCTCAACTTTCAGAAACTGGTTTTTTAAATGCTTATAAATATATTCATATTGAAAATACAGAAATTGAAGATAGTTTTACTAATAATGATATTTTGAAAGCAATAGCTAATGAAAATAAAGACGAAGTTAAATAATCTAATAATAAAATAAATAAAAAAATTAGTTGCAATAAAGTGGAAATAGCACTTGATACAATTTTGAAGTTTTTATACAAACAGGATAAAGAATTTGGTGAAGTCGAAAAAAATACAAAAATCTTAAGAAGGTTATATAGATGAGTTAGATTGCTTTGTGTTAAAAATTTGAAACAAGCAGAAATTTTCTGTTATTTTGTGATTAATAAATATATAAGCATATAAATATACCAATATTAATATCATATAAAATTTACAAAATAATAATAAAATAGTATAACTTACTAACAAAATTTTAAATAATTAAAAATTTAGATATAAAATATGTTGTGTACCAATAGATCTCACCAAAAGTTAAAAAAGCAAAAAAAAAAAGTAAAAAAAAAAAAAAAAAAAAAAAAAAAAAAAAAAAAAAAAAAAAAAAAATAAAAAAAAAAAAAAAAAAAAAAAAAAA